CCTAAAAGCGGGAAGTTTGGTAGTTAAGTGACAGGATTGTGTCTAAATATCAGAAGAGAGATGGGCTGACTTTTTACCCGAACCTGGCATCTCAGTGTCTCAGTAACGCATGATGCGCTGGCAGCGTGACTTGGGCGATCCCTCGGCGTGACGGACATTAGGGTCACTCCCACGCCCGACACCTACCGCGGTATCCCGCTGAGCGCGGGAACCCCCACGCCACCATGGCCACGGGAACCGCCCGCTCCCCCCACGAGAAGTTTGTTTATCTGGAGGGGGTAAACTGACCCAGCAATGCTGAAAACCAGTTTGTTTGTGGTTTAAGAGTTAATTAAAATCCAGTCTTGAGTTTTTGTTTTTACAGTTGCTGCACGTCTGGCAATCCAACCCGAGGAAAATGCGATTTTGATGATCCTGTTTATCTTACGTGTAAACGTTGCTTAGGATTGAATCTGAAAGATTACAGATGGATCAGTGGGCCGGGGTAGTCGTGTGCAACATGGCTTTTTATTTTTGTGAAGCTATGGCTTTTGGGAGCAATTGAAGCATTTATTATTTTGTGATGTTTTTAATAAAAAAAAAAATTAATACAAACTAGTAATAATTATAGTATACTATTACTAATAATTAGAATTAATTTACAATTCATTATTATTATTATTATTATTATTATTATTATTATACAATAACAATAATATAACAGTAATAATAATCATTAAAATTTATTTCACACTGGCATTATAACATTTAGAATAAAGAAATCAGAAATAATATTGTGTTGTGTTAAAGAAAGTTTATACTTACCAAAAATTACCCTGTGCTTGACTGTTGACTAGGTAATTTTTTTGGAGAGAATGTTCTGGAGCCTTCCCCTTCCACCGGCTCGGCGTAACATTGATGATCTGAGCTCCCGGCTGCACGCTAATTACGTCCATCCACAGCTCGGGCGCTGAGCGTGCCGTGAAATTGTAATTTCGAAGACGTTTTACGCTGCGTGGTGCGATATTCCCAGCTGGGCGGCATGGCGATCTCCATAGCCCAGGCGAGGTGGGGGGGGGGCGCTCTCATTCTCAGGGGGTTGCGTCCCGATTCTGTTTGATGCTCTGACAAAACAAGAACAGACAAAAAATCTTGCCTACTATGCACTGTAAAGTCAAATTTATTTTTAAAACCTGTTTCTGTGAGTCCTGCGATTTCTGTTATTGTGTCTCCTGTTAATTGTCCAGAACACAGATGACGGAGGCCTTTGTCTCACAGTGAACTTAAGCCCCCAAACCAAATCTGTCGGGTATCCTGGTATTTGTGCTCAGGGACGAGTCACGGCGATCCACAGGCTTTCAGGAATTCAGCCCGGCACCTTGTCACTGTGGCAGGCGGCTACCGTCCTGGTGCTCCAGGATGGGCCCCAGGTTTTGTGCCGCGCCGCGCGTTGGGCTCAGCCCTGGGTGGGTGCCGGAGCGTTAAATCCGCGGCCAGCGTCGATGCTGAGCTCTCGTTTTGCCTCAGCTCTCTGTCAGATTGCCGGGCTCTTGGCGGGAAGCGGAGGGGCACCAAAATGGATGTATCTTGAGTTTAAACAAATAAAGAAAATAGCTGCTGAATTACTGAACTTCTTGAGGTTTTCTTAATTTAAATGTTTAGAAAGTATGGTTTTCCATAGCCCGCTCATCTGTAAATAGTCAGTAAAAATCGTCAGTAGTATTTTTCCCAAAGTTTCAGTTTCCTACCTAATTTTATGTTGTTTTATTGAAGGTGGCACCTGTATTCACACTCACGGTGACCTGCCACTAGTGCTCGTAACATAAAGAAAATCAAATTTAAAAAACTGCAGTTAGCAGTAGATACAGACGGTGGTGAAACGGCAACCGAGAGCAGAATTATCTGCCCTGCCGTAAGTATCGGCGAGTCTCGTCATGGCCAGTGTCGGAAAGGCTGATGTAACACGTGGATGACAGCTTTAAGAAGAAAAAAGTTTCATTCATTACCATTTTTAACTAGATAACATTTTGTGATTTTATATTCTTTTAATAATGTTTTATTTATTACCTCCTATATATTTTAGCTTATCAGGAATATTGTTACTGGTGTTGCCTGAAGGATGTTACTATAACAGCCTAAAGAGGTGTGTGTGCGTGACTCTGTGTGACTGTGTGTGTGTGTGTGTGTGTGTGTGTGTGTGTGTGTGTGTGTGTGTGCGTGCGCATATGCTGGTGTTCCTGTGTTAAGAGCTGGATGTCCCGACCACAGGCGTGCGCTGGGCTTTCTCTGCCCTCGTATAGCAGAGGTGATGATGCTCCGTCACCGGCTCTGCATCTGACCGAGAGCCGGTGATTCCAGTCGGTCTGGTCTCCCCCTCACACCCCCGTACTGTCTGTCCATCACACACACAAAGACTCAGATGAGCATTAGAAGTATTTTCTTTTTCTCCTTTTTATAAAACATCGTAAGAGATCTGAATTTCATGAATTTTTCTTTTTCCACGCCATTCTTCACATGTCCCCGGCACACGGCAGCGTTGGGTGTCTTAAATGGAATCGCCGTAACTGAGCAGCGGCGCCTGTTCCCCTTAAATGAGTGTGACACACTGACCAGGGTAATATTTTTTAGCTAAAGTGCCCCCCCCCCCCCTTCTCCTCAGTGGCCCCCGTCTTTAGCAGATTTTCAGTCACTTGACGCAGGATTAAATGGTAGTAGTTACGATGATCAATAGGTTAAGAAGCGTACAATCCCTCTTGCTGCTAATGACCTCAGCAGTAATGGGTAATAAAATGGGGGCTGTAATAGCCTTCCTACGAAAGCCAGGATCTCCGGGGTTGGCCGGGCGAGATCCGCAGGCCGGGCGAGATCTGCGGGCCGGGCGAGATCCGCGGGCCGGGCGTCATGAGCTGGAAAGGGCGGCTGACGGGCGGGAGGAGTCGTGTTCCGGTGTGCGAGGAGGTGCTTAAATGGAGAAAAGGGGCCCACTAAAAATACCCCTCCATATATCTGTCCTCCTTTTTCATTTCCACCGTGTCGCTCGCTCACATTTGATGCATATGCACATATATATATTATAAGGATGAAGGAAACTGTGACGTTATTAATTTCACGTTTGCCGTGAATATTAATTACTGCAATGTTTCATCTCCGGGTGGCGTTGGTGGACTTTTACCGGAACGAAGCCAAATGCGAAGAGAAACCCGTGTAATAAATCCCTTCCGTGCAAGGGACCGGCTGTTTGACCTTCAGAAAAGCAGTTTTGGTTAATCAAAATTAGTGATGCTGAGAAATAAGGACATCAGTGCATAATGACTGTGAAATTAGGAGAGGGGGCCTGGGCTATGCAGATGACGGGGCGAGCCGTGCGACTCAGTAAGGATGGCCTGCGTATTACAACATAATGCCAACTCTTTCATCGCACCCTCCGCCCGCCCCGCCCCGGCACGGAAGCAGCGATCGCTGAGCGTCGCAGCACAGCGCACGAAGCAGCTGTCCTTGCGCTCAGGACACACGCTTCACAATCCCGTGCTAAAAACTGCAGCGACCACAGTTGCGACTGCATCAGCTCGGTGACGTTCACGCCGATGTCTCTCCTTTGCGTCATCCGAAGGAAGCGCTGGCTATTTATTATGAGCTTTTTGTTTTTATTTTACGGCTCGCTCGGGAGGGAGGGGCCGCAAATTAATGAGGCCATATGCATGCACTTAGTGTCAGAAGATACACCCTAACCTGGTAAATAGATTCTAAATAGCTAAATTGCATTCAGAAGCGCATGAAAGATTCATCACTTATGAGGCGGGACACAATTTGGGTAACCTTGGCGAAGACGGACTGTCATGCCGATGTCCGCGCCCGTATCAGACGAAGACGTCAGCCGCGATCGCGGAGCGCCACAGCCAGGCTCCCCGAGAAGGCGCCCAAGGGGAGAGACATGTTAACAGTTGCAAATGGGAAACGTTATCAAGTTCATCTCTGTAGCTGTTTGTCACTAATATGTCACATAAGAGGGGGGTTTAATGGTGCTGTGCATGGCAGAGGGGATCCGCTCGCGATCAGCGCCGCGGCCAGACCAATTAGGGAGCACCAGCAAGCACGGGCCTGCCCTCAATGTCAGAACAAACGATGTCTCTGCCGGGCTTGGAGCCGTGGCGTGCGATTGGCCGGCGCTCCCTCCAAGTTGCGGTGGGCATCCACAGAGTCGCTGGCTGTAAATAGGATGCGACCGACTGACGTTGCAGCATCGTCCGTGACCCGTTCCGTGCGCATAACGGAGAAGCGACCTGAAAATAGATGAGAAACGCATGCAGTTAAACCACGGGCAGCTCTCGACAGTGATGGGCGACATCTCTGCGGTAGGTGGGGGGGCTCAAATGACCAGAGTGTTGAACATTGGGAGGTGTTAATGATCCTTGCCGGTGTTTCTTGGAGGGCTGGGGCAATTTCTGAGCATAATGGCCGTTTGGTGCCCGAACCAAGGCTGGGTGGCGTGTGGAGTCCCGGAAGGCGTCCCCAACGTCCAGAAGCCGCAATCTGACCTGTCCCTATGGGGCACTTATGCGCGCTTAAGGTGGCCGGCTTTTAACCCTCGTCGGGGTAGAACCAAAACAATTACCGTCCGCGGCTGCAGAGGACCTGCTGGAAAGTGGCAGAGCTCGTGCCATGGGCTGGAGCGGCGGTCTTCGAGGCCTGCTAGACACCTTCTCAGCAGTGATTTGCTTCCTCGCTCACTGCTCCTGCATAGATGGCGGCGATGACCCCCCAACAGCCGGGGTTTTGATCTCTGGCTCTCTCCCCTGCCTGCATGTATCAGTGCCCATGACTACCTCACAACAGACAGCGTTTTTCATCTCCCTCTCGCTGTATTCTCGTAGCAGTGGCTTTGACAAGCCCTCCACTGACATGTTCTGATCTCTCTCTCTCTCTGCCTTTCTCTCTCGGATCTAGTTATCAGTGGTTCTGACAGCCCCTTCAGCTGGCCGCTTCTCATCTCCCGTTCCGTGTCTGCTCTGCCTCTTCTCCAGGTCCCAGTATCAGTGGCTATGATGACCCCCCAGGTGATAACGCCTCAGCAGATGCAGCAGATTCTCCAGCAGCAAGTCCTGAGCCCTCAGCAGCTCCAGGTTCTCCTCCAGCAGCAGCAGGCACTCATGTTGCAGCAGGTGGGCATGGGGGCACCTGTCTATGTGAACTTGGACGTTAATTGGCTGAAGAAGAAACAGGAAGCCCCAGACTGGCCTTTCGTAGTCTGCTGGCTCCTAGAGTCCTGTCAGATATGTAGAAATGGCGTGACATCTGCGGTCTCCTCTCTCACCTAAAACCTCACCTGTCTCTGCAGCAGCAACTTCAGGAGTTTTACAAGAAGCAGCAGGAACAACTTCACCTTCAGCTCCTACAGCAGCAGCATGCTGGAAAACAGACCAAGGAGGTACGTACGTTGACATCGCTGCTCCGGCGTGGCGTGTAGGGTGCTCTTAGATGGAGGAATTCATGCGGAATGGAGAGCCCTTGCTGTAGCTGCAGGGAGAAGCCACCCATAGGAGCCGGTATGAAGGAGAGAGGCCCGGGCATTTGGCATGGTGGGGAGGAGGGAGGCCCGGGCAGACGAGTCGGCGGGGAGGCCCTGGGGTACGAGCCGGCGGGGAGGAGGGAGGCCTGGCCACAGGAGCCAAGAGGAGGAGAGAGGCCAGGCTGGCTGTGTGTGTGTGTGTGTGTGTGTCTGTGAGTTGCTTCCAGTAGCTCACCAGCAGCCTCAAAGTGTGTGTTAATGACTCGCGGATACAGGCATCACTTCGGACAAAGAAATGATTATTTTGCGGTCAAAAGAAGTTCAAAGACAATCAGGGATTTTTTTCTTTTGCTCCTTTGAGAGCCGGCGTTTGCAGGGTGGGGGTGGGAGCATATAAATGAAACCAAATGTTAAAAACCTCACTGAGAGCCCCAGCTTCAAAGTGCTCGCTCTCTAATTAATGAAGCGCAGGCTTCACTTTGGACAAGTTGGGGGCCGACACTCCCATAAATCAGTGTGACAGCTCTGGTCCTCCGCCTCAGATAGGGCCTGTCACCGAGCCGCATCTGATGTAAACACGCCGTGCCGGGGGTCGTGCGCCGGGGGGGGGGGGGGCGTCACAGGGAAGGTGCAATTGATCAGCTGAATGGGTGAGAGGGGGGAAAAAAAACAACTTTTGAAGAGCATAATGTATGATCACAGGAAATGGAGGAGGCCTCTAGAGGTACCCCCCCCCCAAGTGCGCACACACACACACACACACACACACACACTTCCAATCGGATTTCTAACAGCCATCAAAAGAGAGAATAAGGACTATGGCGCGTCCCCCCAGGGGCTCCCAGACAATAACCCCCTGTTGCTGCTTTGTGCTTCCCTTTATTTTGAAGACATCAAAATTTAGTTGCTCAAAGATCTTTAACTTTATATCTGAAGCTTGGCAATAAAAGCTTGCTGCCACTGCCACTCTTTATCAGTTGTCAGGGACTGTGCCCCCCCCCGCCCTTGCCACTTCTTGTTAACCTCTTATTTGGTCTGTTGGGCCGGGTTTTTAATGTGGTTGCACGCCGGCAGGGGGGCGCAAGGTCTCCTGTCAGCTGACAAGACCAGAAGAAAGAAGCGTGCAGGCAAAAGTTAGACTCATTTGCAATCGGGCGCTAAAGAAGCCGCCCGATATTCATTTGGCACGCTGATGAAAGCCATTGTTCTGCACGAATCGTCCCCATTACCGTCTCTGTTTATCACTGCAGGAAGCGCGGCGCGGGGAGGTCTTAAAGACATCTGTCGTCCCCCTTTAAGGGGGGGGGATAATTTCCTGCCATAACCCTCTCCTTAGTGAAGATTGAGCCCCTCTCCCCCCGCCGCCCACGGGCTCCACGTCGTGGCCCGTCGACCCGTGGGCGCCACCTCGCCCAATTTTCAGTTCTTTAAGTTTATGAAGTGCGTCGGCACGAGAGCGGCTGGTTGGTCAACCCCTGCCCTGGGATGTGTCCAAATCAAAGGGTCGACACAGAATAAGAGTCGCGCCCTCTTTATTTTTAGAGCGGCCCCTGGCAGGGCCCTGACAGGTTCGTCGGGGAGGGTGGGGGCCCAGCGAGGCGCGGGGGGGCAGCCTTTATCTGGGAGTCTCAGCGTCTGTGAGAGCGCTGCCTGGTGACCTGGCAGCCGCGTCGCGCCGAGACCTTTTTTGTACGCGCCCGATTGTGAGAAGTAAACAGACGCGGCGCATCCTGTGTTTGGTAAGAGGGCGCGGCTCTCAGCTTGGCAGCTGCGGGCGTGCTTAGCGTTCGCCACCCCCCCGCTGCCCCCTCAGCCCCCTCAGCCGCCGCATTATTCCGTAACATTTTTTGGCCTTCCCTGTGCCTAGACGATCTGCATCCTGCCTCTCCTCTCTTCCCGGCCACCCCCACCAGCCTGTTTCTGTCCATCCTTCTATTCCCTCATTATTTAAGTATTATTAGAATCAATTATTCCATCCGTTAATGAAGGCGGAGTGTCGCTCTAAAAAAAGCCGTCCGAATGAGGCTGGCGCGAGGCTCCGCTGTCCCCCTCCCCGAACCTTTATCCCTCCGTGGCAGAGATCGGGGATATTAGATAATTTCCTCCTGTTTGTTGTTCTAACTCTGTGGCAGTGTCTCCCACCCGGAGCATCAGCTCTGGAAATCATTGTTCACACTTTTCTGCGAGCTCCGGGAGCTGTTCGGGTTCAGCTCTGGTGAAGACGAGTTCTCTGCGACCCCGAGATGGAGTGACCCACTGGGGGAGGGAACGCAGGCCTTTCCAAGCGGCGTGGGGCCCAACGGGCTGGGGGCTGCTTGTTGGAGCTGTTTGATTTGGTCACACGTTGTTTGTTGAATTATGAATGGGCGTAATTAGAACCCTGTGGCTCGTGCTATGAATGATTTACTGTGTAGCCTCATTGTTTGTCACTTGCTTCTTTACTCCTCATTAATTAAGATGTTAACCAAGCGGCGCCCGTCTCTGTGGAGACGGCTGCCACGCACAATGTTTGGCCATTTCACCTGTGTGCTCAGGTAGCTGAGATGTAGTGTGTATGTGTCCATAAAGATCTTCAGACCTCTTGAAAGCCTCTGGTCCTCGGAAAGGTCTTTGGTCCTCTTGAAGACCTCTGTTTATCTTGAATGCCTCTGGTCTTCACAAAGACCTTTAGTCCCCCTGAATGCCTGGTCCTTATGAAGTCCCCTGTTTGTATGAAGCTCTCTGGTCCTCTTGAAGGCCCTCTGTCCTCATGAAGCTCTCTGGTCCTCTTGAAGGCCCTCTGTCCTCATGAAGCTCTCTGGTCCTCTTG